TTTTTGTTTCATTATTACAAAATCAAATAATTGATTAACTAATCAAATAATTGATTATAATAATTACCCCAAAGAGCGTTAGCCGAGAAGGGCTATTTATTTCGTTTTGGCATTTTGCGTTTGTTCATTATAAATATCGGTTCACTTTTCAAACTGTTGCCACCAAATATTATATTCCTGTGTTACATTTAAAGAAGTTAAATAAAGAAGAATCTGCATAAATGTATGTATTTTTCTCGCATTGTGAAAAAAGAGCGATACCCATAGCCATCAAATTTTGAAAAGCATTATCCTCCATCGAATATGCACATCTGGAAGCTCTAATTTGGAATTTGTTTTATTATCTGTTTTATATTTCGAAAAATTTTAACGAATTTTCGATTAACAAATTTAACGATTTCAAAGCGAGCAATGGCAACGCTGTACGAAAAAAAAAAAAAAAATTATCTCCAAGCACGCGAGACTGTGTATTGGAAATTCTAAAGATATGCTCATTTAGAAATTATTTGGCGATATTGCTGAGAATTGAATTGTATGGTTTAAGTGTAAAAAACATAATATTTAATAAATAAAGGTAACACCCAAAAAGTTAAAAAAAAAGCCCGTTTGGGCTAATGTATTATAATGTGAAAGCTTTCAGTCTCAACCCTCCCCCCTCGGTTGTTTAAAAGTACAGTTCCGCTCCATCTAGTGAATAGTAATGTGATTGAATTTTTCAAATTCTTGATTGCAAAAACAGAGCAATTCGAGCTTAGATATATGTTCTCTTTAGCAGTAGCTCAAAGCCGATCAAAATTTTCTGACGTTAGGTAATGTTGATTTAAAAAAAGATACGCGTTTTTGGTCATTATAATTTGAAAAAAAGGAAACCTCGTATATTGAGTTCTATAAATATTATAATAGAATGACCTAATATGAGATTCATTAAGTATTCATGAGATAAGTATAAATATGAGAAATGATTCCAAGATTTGCGTGGCTTTTTTCGCTAAATTTATTGCATAAACAAATTGCTGCAAAGTATTATGCTAATATCCTTGTTGAATATCTTAGAGTGTAAGCTCAGACATAACGCCTTATCTTTTCGAATGGTGACGCATCCCAGGCAATCAAAGATAGCTATTAATGCCTTTTCTTGGTTGGCATTTTAACGCGATTGCGTCGTTATATTTGCAACCTCCACTTATCGGTGTTAATGTGCGGGCAAAATGCCTCTTCAGCAGTGATTCGGATTAGTGCTTTTTTTTCTTCGTGGTAGAATAGCGTCTAATCTAAGTTTATTAATCATATCTTTTTCTGCCTCGTTTTAGAAGGAAGACGGGAAGAAGGGGAGGCGGAGGGGGTGTGCCTGGGTCTTATCGTCCCGTATGATGGATGGGGCACTGTCAGGAGATTTGCAAAACGAGGCGTCTTCGCGATACTTGACTCCTGTCTAGGAGTCGGTAATTGGAAATAACGTCGCAGTGATTTATCGAGGAGTCCCGCTGACCCGGTCTGTCTTTTTTGACAACGCGACAAAACTCGTCACGCTGCTTCAAGATGGAGCGACGGGTGACGGAGATGACGATACGGGAGCACTTAGAGTTATCTGCCACGATACATATTTCGAGGCAGAGATCGTTGTTTTTTGCATGTGGGAATGCTCGGGGTACGTTGCGAGGTTGGAGAACTATTAAAAGATGGAGCTGTCCTACCGCCCGTCGTTTTGTGTTTCTTGAGGTCCAAAGGGTATGCAAGGCAGCTTGTCAGTATTCATTTGCTTGTATATTTGCGTAGAACCTCGAACATTAACCTTTCATTATATAAGGTTAAGTAAAAACGATCGATGACATTATAAACGGAAGTGATCTTGCAGTTTTATTATATGGTAATAAGAATTTTTGTGTTGTCCGCACCAGCTATTTCCACTATTATAAATAATTCATTATCGGCTGGAATGGAGGTTTAGACTTCCACATTGTTAATGACTGTAATGTTGTAGCTATTTTGTGTTTCTATATTCCCGGTTCCCAAAATTGTTAATCTTCTCACTACGCGATGTTTTAATGTGTATTGTTTTGCTGATTTCGAGATTTGCAGAGATCGATAACGCCGTTGAAATATCTGTTGCCAGTATAAATTTTTATTTTAACATTCCTCTTTGATGATTACTGTATTTAAACTAATCAGTTCTGTAAATTAGACGATTGATCAGATAATTGTTTAAGTTCCTTGAAAGATAACTGCATTTTTAAATTTAATTTCACTGTAATTTTGAAGAAAAAAAAAATGGGGGGAGGAGAACTCAAACGGAATGTTTTTCATAATGTTTGAGAAATTGCGTAGCTTCGAAAAATGGTTTAAGGTTATTAATATTTCTGAGTCTCCCTTCTTAATTATTTCATAAAATTGTAAAATACAATGCTAAGCAAACTTTCTTTTTTTCCCCTTCCCTGGGGAGGGGTCAGGGTTTAGACCTAAAATAGTCGAATAGCCTAAATTAAAATTTTCATTTTCATTTGGACCAACGGAAGATTAAAAGCCAGAGAAAACTACAAGTATGGAAATTAGTATTTCAGAAAGTGCAGAGTGTAATTTCAATATAAATTTCCAGGTTGTATTTGTAAAAGCGAAGAGAATAGTATTTCTAAAAAGTGTAGTATGCATAAGCAACGAAATTTATTTATTAAGAACCGCTATTCTCCATTATACTGCTGGCCATTAAAATTGCTATACCGTGAAGGCATCATACAGTGAAAAATACTTATGCTAGACTGTGCAGATGTTAAGCATTCCAAAGCATGCTCACGAAGCAATTTATCAGTGACGCCATCTATATTATCTATAAATAGGAAGACTGCAGGCTTTTCATTTGGAAATCGCATTTCAACGTTGGTTGTTTGTGTAAGAGTCCTGTTATGCCTGATGTAAGCAGAAGAATCTCCTAACCAGCATGTGCCGAAATTCGACCATAGCCTATCGGAACTGCGATTAATCATTCCACTACATTGCTGATTGTGTTGGTCAGTATCGGATGACTGCCCAACGAATATAGAATCCATGGATCCAGGAAGGCCACATTTAAATGCCGTGTAGGATCTTAGCGGCGCCGTCCCACAGACGCCCGAGAGGACAGGCATGTTGTCTTCTCGGTCTTGCGGAATTGCACAGTCGCGCCACATTCCGTGAGGCTCTTGTACAAAACAACAAGTAATTACATGGACAGAGCAACGACGTCTGCAGCACCATGGACTGTCAGGGCGGCAACCATTGTTGCTGCTTTCCTTACTCTGCAGCAGAGACAGTCGCACCTACAGTGGTGGGACGAACGAAGACACTGGACACAGGAGTGGCACATGTCGTCTTTTCAAACGATTCCTAGTTTTGCATACAACATCATGATAGACGTATCCGTGTGTGATCCTCTACAAATGGAAAACGGGGTGCAGCACTATTTAAAAATATGCACAGGCAATACAGCTACAGTGTTTCAAGCGGAGTTCAAGCCCTGAAAACAGCGATTATTAGGCTAGGTGATACACAGCCAGCGAGCTCAATGAAAATCATCATTGACAGCCTTCCCTCCACAGCCTAAATAGTCTCAAAATTTCAAAAGCAAGCGTACAAAGTTTAAGGGAATTAATTAGCATGCTAAAGGATTCCTCCCAGCTGGAATTTAACTATATAAAAGCGCTCATAGGCATAAAGGGAAATGAGCGGGCGGATAAAGAAGCAACACAGTTGGATTCGATCAACACAGAGCTTCCGCTTTCAGAGGACACTGCGAAACATCAAATCTTACGAGAAATTCGCCGCCTTTGGTAAGCTAGATGGAACCAGACGCTCAACATACACCATCTTCCACAAGGTCATAACCTTAAGGCTTATGACAAACCATATTTTAAACCAAATATTAACAAATCATGGGAAATTCCCATAGTATATAAAGAGGTTTTACAAAAAGCCAGTGAGATGTGTATGCGGCATCAGCCGTGAGGTAGCAGGAGTAGTCCGTTACCTCTCAACATGCCCAAGCACAGTCAGCGAGAGACAGACACTGCTTCCATAACCTCTACTATCCCTAGACACTGTGGCAAAGTTTGGCGTCCACCTTAAAAGGCTTGAGAGTAATTCGAGTCAACAAATGAGTCGAACTTTTTAATCTACAGCCGTTAACATCACGTATTGTAAATTACCAGTAAGGCATCCTTATAATATTTGTTTGTCACAATCTTCATGACTACATTTAAATACCAGATAGGGCATCACGTGTCGTACTTAATATGTGTGAATATTTTTCCTAACCTAGTTGTATTAATTTTATATATTTCCTTCTATCTTTACTGTAATATTTTGTTTTTAAATAAAAGAGAACGAATCAGTTGAGAAGATCCGGTGAAATGATTTGTTAACGCAACAAATCTTTCAGTCAGAGCACTCTCAGCAAAATCGAAAATCGAGTGAAAAATCGAGTGATTTTAGAAAATTCCCCCAAATCTGTAGAGGATGTTGAAAAAATTAGTAGGAACTTCGTTTTAAAAAGGGTTTTTTTTTTTTTTTTTTTTTTTTTTTTTTTTTTCCGGCTGCATCCGATGGAGCAAAGATTTTTAGCTTGTATGTTAAATGAAGATATTAAATTTAATAAATCTAAAACGAAAATTTTGAAAAATAATCTGTTTAAGATTATAGACTTTCATCGTTCGACCAACATATGTTCCAAATTTTATATGAGACTATCCATCTCTACCCCGAACTCACATCAGATGCTTTATATTATAATAATATAGTCGATTATCGATAATCGATAATCGACTGTAGAGTTTAGCCCACTTCATGTAAAGGTTACATTCCTTTATGCGAGTATTGTGAAATTCTAATATCTGTGTACGCTTCTACCATTACTGAATATTTATTGATTTTTATTTAAAATGCTGTATATTTTTAACGTATTTATTTCAATTACGTTAGCTGAAATCATTTAAAGTTTTCTTTTTTTTCTTTTCATGTTCTTCTGCCCTTAGGATATTGGTTCGGTAAGTGCTATTTGATTATTTTAAGTTCTATTTATCAGTTTTCTCCCCTACTTACTGAGGAAAACCTAATAAAGTGATTGAAAATTAAAATGAAATTCAATTTATATGAGACTGGCATACTTTCGAATATTGCACAGGTATAGATTAAACTTATTTTTCATTACTTCAGGAAATTAATTATGATTTCTTTTCTTTTTTGGTGACTGTTTCTTCTTTGCGACATCTAATAACAGGGGGTAAGTTTTGATATGTGTTTCATCTTTTTATATGGACTATTTTACGCAGTTTTATTTTAATATTGTAAGATAAAGTTTGCACATTTCATTATTTTTCTGTTTGGGTATTTCATTATGCTTTACCTTTGTTTTATGGTGATAGTTTTTAATCAGATTTATTTATTCAAATTTTTTTAATTAATAATTAAGAAAATAGCTAAAGATTTCACCATCTATATTGTATATTGATTTAATACATTGAGCATAGTGATTATGGTGTATATGTGTGTTGTATAAAAATGATATGCGTGTATTTGGAATTGTGTATATATTGTGTGTGTAAAATCATGAAAACCTTTGTTAAAATCCTTTGTTGAACGTTCTCTCCTCTTTTTTTTTTTTTTTTTTTACTCTTAACTGTGTATTCTTTTTTATTACCTTTTAATGTAAATATTTTAAATATATTTTTTAATGTAATTTCATTTCATATAAATCATGCTATAGAAATAAACTAGACTTTTATCTGCAATAATATTTCTAATCTATCATTACATCTCATTACAATGTTATATGCTTTATGGGTTATTCAGACTGCCCCAAAAAGTGGATATTCAGACTGATATGCTTTACATTTTAGGCTAGAAAGTCCCTACCCTGCGCTTTCTTCATTGTATAATTTTGTATTTTTCACTTGAAATCTAATGAACTTTTTAGTAAGAGTAGACTTCTTTCCTGCATGCCCTGTTACTTTAAATAATATCTTGAGCCTCATTTTAATAAATGTATGTTGAAATCACAGTGTGGACATTATTTCAGCTTTTGAAAAGAAAGGAAATAGCTACGGGTGCAATTTTCTTTCACTAAGATTCGCATAAAAATTATATTACACATAGTACAGTAACAAGCAGTTTTTTAGGATTTTGCCTTAAAAGATAGGTTTCTTTCAGTTTAGTGCAATAATTATGTACAGCTCTTAAGAAGAATTTAGTTCAGACTGTGCATTTAAATCCGTATTTGTTTGAACTAATTGAATGAAAATTTAATGTAAAGAAAATTACATTTTAACAAACAGAATTTTTGTTAGATTTGTTAATTTTTGCTAAATAGGATGATATGCGCATGAAAATTTTATATAAATGAAAATTTTATAAAATTCATATTATAATTTATATAATATATTATAATATGGATTTTAAAAAACAGAAAGTTGTACATTTTCTGTTTTTTAAAATTCATATTGATTGTGAATATTCATTGAGATTGGTGTCTCTTTTCAATGCATCAGCTCTTTATATTTAATTGTAATTAATTCTAAAATATTAATTGATTTATATGCACTTTTTCCTGTTTTTTTCCCCACAATGCTTTAAATCCAGTTAAGATGTTCCAAAATTTTTTTTTTATTTTGTTTATACATGAATATAGAGGTCTTAGGCTTGTTTTTTAATATAAATGTATTACTATGTTATGTAATTTATTTTAATTTTATATAATATGTAAATATAACTTTTCAAAGTTTTTATTTATCATAATTTTTATGAATTTTACTAATGCAAATATGTTGTTTCTTCTCCCCCTTCTTCTACTGCATCTTCCTACAAATGATTATCAATGGTTCCTGTTTATAAAAGTAGTACGTAAGTAAAACTTTTATTTTTAATAATATTCTTTCTTTTTAAATTAAATCTAAACTAAACTCAGTGGCACAACAGGCCTAGTGGGCCATGTCCTGCAGTGCTCCTTTCCTGTCCCGAGGTGCATGAGCATTTGCCTGGACAAATGGTCAGCTTGTTGCAGGGCACACGGTTTTTGGTCCCCAAGTGAACTTAGTATTCATTTTATCGACACACTCAAGGAATGAAATGCTGAGTCAACGTTGTCCAGCCGGAGGATCGAACCTCGGACCAATTGTATTGCTGTGCAACGCGCTAGCTATTGCACCACCGGGCCGTAATTAGAATAATAAGAGACATATTTGATCTATAAACATTCAGTTTTCTTTTTATGAAAATACAGTATATATATAGATAAATCGTCTGTTTTGTAATGATTGATTAACATGAAGGCAAGACTTGACACATGAATCTTCATAAAGCTTTAATAAATTATTAGAATCAGCCTTTTCTTCCAAAGACCATAGAGGTCACACCAGAGTCCTTTAAAAAGCAGACTAATACTGATTGTTTTCTTCGAGTGTCATAGTATTGCAAGTCATAAATTTCTACCAGATGGCCAAGCTGTTTGCAAAGAAACTTATTTGAGTGTTTTGCTTGAAGTAATTGGTAGAAAATATCCTTGTGACAAAATTACCGGATTTTTGTACCATGATAATTGACCTATTTCTAATACTTCTGATACTGAATTTTTGGTTAAAGTTTCAATAAATACAAGCTCTAGGTGATTTTCTGCTTATGTAAAGTGAATATGAGCCAGTTCTATTAGAAAGCCCTTCTCTTAGGCAGGCACATCTTTGGCATATTTTAGTAATCGCTACAAGCTCTGTATTCACCCAACATGGCACCTTGTGAGTTTTTCTTATTTCCGGAGTTAAGATTGCACTTCGTAATACCCTATTGGTCAGTTGATGCTATAACGAGTATACGAGTTCTGAAGGAGTTTTATAGGAATGTATGCTATGAAGATTTAAAAAAACGTTGGCTGAAGTGCATTGCAACTCGAGGGAATTACTTTGAAGATAGTATGATGATACTGACCTATAAAGTGAAATCGTGTGTTTTATGGTAATATTTCCGATGCTTTATTCATTTAGACATCGTTTAAAATGCCATTAACATATTACATAAAAGAATGACTTTTTGTTTGCAATAGTAATTTGCGTTAATTTTAGAAGAGAAAAGTATCCTCGCATTTCGGTGGACAGCAGTTCCCTTTTTTCCTCCCATACCTCTTGGTGAAGGTAAATTTGTTCTGTTGAGACTGAAAGTTCAGTTCGAAATAATAACTCAACTACAGCAATGTTCTCTCGTTTTCTTAAAATTAGAGACTTTGCAGCCTAAGGCATAGTAGTAACTTGGGTGGGCCTACGGCTATGTTTATGAATGAAACGTGATGCGGGTCTTTAGGGGAATCTGCGCCGGTTGATGACTAATACATTTCGAATGCTATTTGTTCTTATTCCAAGATGAGTAGGACATGAAAAGTTGTACAAAAAATGAAGGAACGCCTCTATGAGGCTGCCACATCGTTTTTTTTTAAACCACCTGTCTGCGCCTTTTTGCAAATTTGCCACTGTTCGAAAAGACAAAAACCTTCATAAGAGTCCCCCACCACCACCACCACCACACACACAAGTGCCTGCAATTTTATGAAGACCGATTATTTCTAACTTTAAAAAAGTAACCTTTAAAGGTTCGAGTATTTAATGCCGGGACACTCTTACGCAATTCCAGGTGCCTTTGAGTAAAGTGTAAGTCATTTAGCATAAAGATTTTGAAAATTTATTTCATCTTCTGCTTAATTAACTAATAAGCGATGGAAACGAAAGCTCGTGATGGAACGAAAGTTGGATGGAAACGAAAGTTCCATCGTATTAGTTCAGTTCTTAGTTTTTACTTAGTTCTCGAATTAGCATTAATTAAAGTGCATACTTAGGTTGTAAAGCATTTTCTCCCTCCTTTGCGCATGCTTTTGTGGTTTACCTTCAAGTATTTCGACGCGTATTCGGGAGGTCTGGAGTTCGAATCCCGGCGAGAGCATCGCGGATTTCTTGAATTCCCTCGCTTCGAAAAAGCTTTAAAACAATCTAAAAGGTAGCCAAAGATTTGTTAATAAAACGTCCTTAAGATCAGAGTTCTAATTCGTATCGAGTTCCTGATTCGCACGAAGTGAGGCTACTACTTTTCAAGTACTTTTTTTTCCCCTTTTGTAGGGCTTTTTTAACAGTGATTACAGTGACGTAAATTCATTGGAGAATGTTGTTCTAATATTAGAATAAGAGCTAATAATAAATACATTCGAATAAATTCTAATAAAATGATCAAAATAAAAAATAAATGAAGCAGATATGAATTATTTAAAATGTGCTATAAAAATTGAACAAATATAAATCTGGGTAATCACTTCATTCTTTTATGTAATATGTTAATGGCATTTTAAACGATGTCTAAATGAATAAAGCTTTTTTTGCTGAAATATTCTTATTTAGTGTAGTGGAAACGAATACGGAAATTTAATATAGTTTACTGTCGCTCTGCCAACGCGTGCAACAATTTCTTGCTGTACAAACGCTTGCAACGCAGTGCAACACGCGTACTTTGCATCCATTGCCTAACGGTTTGATCAACTACGTAAAATTGTGGAGTGCTTGTCGCACCCATAGTAATGTGTAACCCAAAGTAATGTGGCCTTAGAATTAATTATCAAGAAATAAAATTGTGTCTTGTTATCCACGCCACATCTGCAAATTTTTACTTCTCCGTTATACATCTTAGAAAACTACCTCACCAAGTATGCACGGAAATTATATATATAATCTATTAGTTTTAAGTATGTCAAAAAAATGTGTATATATATCAGCAGTTAAGACTTGGAAGTTTTTGAATTCCTGGAAAGCATTAACAGGTTTTGGCTTATTATTCTTTTGAGCCTTATAAAATATATAATGTTAATTATAATATGAGTGTAAAAGAAATTCAGTTTTAGTATTCTTCAGCGCATACCAGATTTTCATTTAGTATTTCTTTTGTATGCACATTTTTCACAATATCTGAGAAATGAAAATAGAGGTTTGCATTCTCGATCAAATGTCCCATTTATAAGAAAGGATAAATGACCTTTTTGTACAAATGTCCCATTTATAAGAAAGGATGAATGACCTTTTTGTACAAATGTCCCATTTATAAGAAAGGATAAATGACCTTTTTGTACAAATGTCCCATTTATAAGAAAGGATAAATGACCTTTTTGTAACACCCATGTTCTTGGAAATTCAAGCTTTTAGAAAAAGAGTAAAGGAAAAGCAAAGTCGCGCATTTCGTCCTTTTCCTTCGACCACCAGCGGTCGAGCGGTAAAGTCGCTGAACACTGGTAGTTCGGTCCGAGGTTAGAATCCCGCGAACGGG